ATATTTATCTTTTTAATAATCCTTAATTGAGTTAAATTCGAATGAGTCAAGTTAATAAATTTTAATACGGAATGATTATATACCAAAAATAAAAATTCAACTTATTTAGGGAAATATTCCAAGTAAACCAAAATATTCTATTAATAATGGCATTACTACTTTTTTTCTTTTTCTCTACCTATATACGTACACTATAACAAATTGTAATTCAAAGTGTAATATTCAAATAAATAAGTCTTATTTTGAAGAAATTGAATATTCAAATGTCCAAAATTTGACTGAAAAGGTCAAAAGAGTAAACTTTATACTTTATTAATGGTGTAATTTGTTAATTTTTTTTTTTGTGTGGGATGAATTCATAAATAAATAAAAAGGAGAAGATAAAATTATAAAAAAAAAAACTTTGATAAGATCAACCAATGGCGTAATACATAGATCGAAGGATGATCCGCTGAATAATTTTCTCTGAAAAGATAAATTGTGTATACAAAAATAGTACAATATATATAAGTCAAATAATTTTTTTTATATTTATATAAATATATACTACAAAAAGAGATAAAGCATGAAATTTATGGAAGCAACATCACACCTTTTTATAAAAAATTGAAAAGATGGAACAAAACAAATATCATATCATGAAGGTGGATTAAGAAAAAAAAGAGAGTTTGAAATAGAAAAGAACCTACCCCTTTAATTAATTAGCTGGATTAATTAGGACAGCCTTCTTAATGATGATATTGACCTAATGTCTTTCTAATTGAATCAAATTTTCAACATTGCTTGATTATTTTAATTTTTTTAACCCAAAATTGATTTTGATTTGCAAACAACCACCACTTGTACTAATTTCTAAGATAATTTTTTTTTATCATTTGCCCTTGCATCTCAACTAAATATTATGAATTAGAAATATGCAAGTAAGAATTCATGACTTATAGGTGGATGATGTATGGGATAAAAATCATGGGAGACGATATAACAACAATAACATATTTAGTGAGATTTAAGGATCGAAGGGTGGGGTGTCAGCAGTCTTACTTTTGTCTTAATAGGTGAATTTTATTTCTATTTGTGTGATATGGTAAATAGACAGTTAGTAGACGAATAGTTGAAGCACACTCAAACTTACTAGACCACCAATATTAATGTTGAAAGAATAAGTTAGAAATATATATAAGCGGATTCATACATACATGTATTTTCTTCTTCAAAAGTACTACATTCGAATGAATAGATACCTAATGGCTATTGCATTCGAAAAATCTAATATCGAAAATTTCTAACAAAAATGATTCTATACAACGCCATAAGATTTGTTGATCAAGACTTATAATAATCTTGTAATTTACATTTACCAACATTAAAAGGCAAGACAAAAGGGACTCCATGTGATTAAAACGTTACGCCCTATATACATGCCTTGGATCTGTTACACTATTTATTAATTTTTTAGTGCATATTTTAATCTATTTATCTTTAGATGAATTAATATTACATTATCTTAATATGTTTTGTTTAATTTGTTGCTATCATAAATCAGTTAGCAAGTTACTATTACTAATTTGATGCAATTTTAAGTAACCATATTCTATTACCTGCTTGGAATATCATATGACAATTAATTTCATATTCTGGATAACAATGATCTAATCATCATCATTATCACTTCTCCACACAGCCTAATAAAATAAGTGGAATGCAAATAACAAAATAAAATTATTGGTGCATTTTTTTTTCACCATTGGTAATATTTAGAAGTTTCACAATTTGTTAAGTTTGTCAAATTAAAGTCTTCATATAATTTTTTCAAGGATCGATATTATTTTGATATTCTTTTGAGGGTTTATTAGAAATAATTTTTTTTATCTTTACAAGACAGGGTTACAATTGCGCACACACGATCCTCTCCATACCCCACTCGTGGAATTACTCTGAATATGTTGTTGTATTATTTTGATATTATTACATATCTACCACTATAAATACTAATTACTACTACTAGTTAGGTTCTGAGTTATATTTCAATTATACAAATATAATTTTTTGAAATTAAATTGTATGTTAGGTTGCCAATTCACATCATAGCACTGTGGATCAACAGTAGTAATATTATATAGAGCTAAAATAGATTAATACATGGAGGACTTGGTAGGTGGTACTACTCTACCAGATAATGTGGCACGAGTACAAATATGATGATTTTTTATAATAAATTTTTAACTATAGATTATATCAGTTCAACTATATATAGCTAAAAAACAATTCAACCAAACAAAATATTCTTGGAAAATTAGCAAACAATAAGTCCAGCAGTTGTGACATCATAATAACTATTGTGATGTCATACTATTGCATCTTGAATTATGGAGCTAGCAGTTACGTGAATTGTGGTAGGATGATTGAGATTCTTTCACTCTATTAAAGGTTTTGAATTTGATCCCCTAAAACTGAAAAAAAAATAAAAATCCTATTGAACTGTTACCCTAGAAATAAAACATATCATGTGAAAATTCAAATTTCGTTAAACCCCAAAAGGAATACTGAACACCAAATGAAAGTCGATTAAAAAAAAAAACATATGTGGCTGCTGGGATTCGAGCCCAGGTCTCCACGGCCACAACGTGGAATTCTTACCACTAAACTACAGCCACTTGATGTTTGTGTCTTCTTAATAATTTGCTATAAAACGTTAAACAAGAACTTTATTAGGTAATCCATGAAACATAAAGAAAACTTAGAATGGGATAAATTGTAGTAACAAATACTCCCTAGTCCTTATAGTAACATATGTTAGCTGATAAATTTGAACACTTATCTTTACCAGTTATATATTTATCTTGTTGGTTTTCTATTCAGTGTTTGATAAACGTAGTATATAGTCTTACTAAATTTGAATTTGTGTCAAAAATTTCTATATTGGAGGGTAAAACGCTCCCTAACAAAAAGGACAATGTACCGGCCTTCCTTAGGGGAACTCAAACTCGTGAGTCGAGACCTCAAAGTAACAATGAAAGAGTACTACCACTCCATCATTCCAATCCCTTATTGGTTACCGGTTATATCTTGAAGGTATAGCTTCTCTATAAGCTAGTGGTTAATATTGCCATCAATTTAGAAAAGATCGTTAATAAGTACAATAACATATTCAATATAATTCTATAAGTAAGGTTTGAAAAGAGTGAATTGTACAAAAACTTTACCTTTACTTTGGTGAGATACGTAGAGAGACTATAAAAGATCTTTAATAAGTAATTATTTATATATTAATTTCCCAAATTTAAGTATAAAAATATTAAACACATGCATTGTCCAATATATATTATTATCCCATCTACTGAGGCATAAGTCCCAAATTTTTTTATCACCCCATGGGCGTTAAGAGCTTTAATCACACTAAATTTAGTCTCAAGACAAGTCTCTAGTCAGAATTGACTTTCCATAAATAATGCAAAATGAACCAAAACAAAACGTGTATTTCACTATTTTGACTATTAACTAATGCATTATTAATCATCAATACATACACATATGTATATATATATATATATGTATATTACATAAATTCGGCGTATTTAAAATTAGTTATTTCATAGAATACATGCAAATTTGTTTACCAAAATATTTGTATTTCAAAAATTACAGCTAAATTTGGAACTAATTAACTTTGTGGTAATGGTATTTATGGTCAATAATTAATTTGTGGTGATATTAATTAACATCAATGCAAATTATTCATATTGATTTACCTTTTTTTTTAGTTTCCTTACGGAATGCGAATTGAAGCTCCGACTAAATTCGGATTATGCACAATGTAATGTAGGATTCTTTCGGGGTGACGCTCCCAACAAAATTTTCTCCTACTTGAACTCACGATCTCTAATTAAGAATAAACTAATTATATTTCACCACTGTACCATGACCCACGTTATTTATATTGTTTAAACATTATAGAGTCTTAAGGGTCTACCAAACGTTTTTGAAGGTTCCAAAGAACTTCCTTGTATTTGGAAAAAAAAAAAACAAGACAAGGAATTAAGAAGTGAGAAGAGGTCAAAATAATCAAACTTATCAAATTCCTTTGTCTTTTATTGTCACCTGTCAAATCACACGGTTATACCCTGAGTAAAATTCAATCTTCTTCAACATTCCTTCCTTAGAAATTCTCCTTTCACTTTCAAAAAAATACAATTCAATTTTTTTCTATTCGATCTTCGATGCTCGCAATTTTGATAAAACGAACTCTAGACTTTTGACTAATAAAGGCGAAAACTTATTAATTCTATCATAATTTATAAGGGTCATTTTATTTATGAACAAAGTTATTTCAAAATTATAATCATGAAATTCTGTAACTAATTTATCTCATCTCTTAGGTGGGATAAAATAACACCAACTTTGAGGTATAAATTTTATTATGGAATTGGTTGTATCTTTAACTAAAAAAATATTAATTTAATCTCAAACTTAATTATAAGATGTCATATTTTTACCTTGTCTCATGACCAACGACCCCTTATATGAAGTTCAAGTTCAATTCTTAGTCAACATTTCCTTCCTTAGAATTTCTCCTTTCACTATAAAAAATCTACAGTATTTTATTTCCACCTTATATCATGTATTCATTTTTATAGCTCTAATTAATTCAAATTTGTATGTCTAATTAAGAACCACTAAAAAGGAAAATACTCTAACAATTTTTTTATTCTAGAATAACTTTCATTCGAAATATCTGATTAAAAATACAAGAACATATTCATCCCATCACAATTCTTCGTAATATAAAAAATTACAAGCACTCATATATTATTATTAAGTACTAGTAAACTCCAAACATATTCCATGTTCACATGTATAACTTTCTCTAAACGAAAAAAAGAAGAAAAAACAACCCATTTGTAGAAATACAGCCACCTATATAAATACCACAAGGAAACACAAATTTAGCAAAACAACATTCCAATATTCAAAAAAAATCGAAAAAAATGCAACGTTCATCACTAGTTTCCAACTTATTACAACGCCAATTAGTCCATCAAAGGCAAAGGATTAGCAAAGACCAAATGATTAACAAAGTGATTAGATCACAATTACCATGTGATGTTTTCATTAATCACAGAGGTAATGACACAAAGAGAACAATAGCTTCATTATTATATGATCATTTGACACGTTTAAGGATTAATTCATTTTTAGACAACAAAAACATGAAGCCAGGTGACAAATTATTTGAGAAAATTGATAGTGCAATTGATGAATGCAAAATTGGTGTTGCTGTTTTTTCACCACGTTATTGTGATTCATATTTTTGTTTACATGAATTGGCTCTATTTGTCGAATCAAAAAAGAAATTGATTCCTATTTTTTGCGATGTGAAACCTTCTGAGCTTCGTGTTGGTAAGAGTAATAATATTCAACTTGGACCAAAAGAAATCGAGAGGTTTAATTTGGCACTTGATGAGGCTAAACACACCGTTGGACTTGATTTCGACTCAAATAAAGGGTACGTATCATCTTTAATATATTATAGCACGTTACTTACCTTAGATTTTAGATTGTTTGATTTTACTTATTATTGAGTTACCTTTAAAATGAACCTAGCTAAGTACAAACTATGAAAATTTAGATATATGTATAAAATTTTGTATTAAATGATACATTGTTTATTTCCAATTACATGCATCAAATTCAACAATATGGCTTGTAAAATGTTTGGTTGTTTTTAAGTTGACAATATAAATAATACACGCATAAAGTTATGCAGAAATCCCTTTATATTATTTTATACATTGAACTATAGAAGGTGAAATAAGAATATATAATTAGTAAATCTTTTGAATTATACATTGTATACTGATATTATGTAATATGTCAAACTATATACTCAATAAAAATATTTTCTATATAACTTGTCTTTGAACCAAACAACCCTTCAATGTATATAAGTTAAAGTACTCATTCTTAATTATCTTGCTTGTGGATTTATCGACTTAATTAATTACAAAGTGTAAATTAACTATAGTTACTTTCGTTAATTTTCGACAATTTAATGTTGTTTGTAGGAACTGGTCTGATGTGGTGACAAAAGCAGCTGATGTTGTCATTGAGAGTTTGATTGAAATTGAAGAAGCTCAGATAATCAGAAATCCCATAAAATTAATTATACCATAACTATACAATATCAATTTTATTTTTATTTTTAAAAAAAGGAAAGCTAATTAACATGAATTTATTGTTTTGAATAAGTTATCAGTTTTTGTATGGTTTTACTAAAATATTTTAGTGAACTATATATAATTAACAAGCAGATTTTTTTTTTATTGTTGTAACATGTCCAAAGTTCATCCAATAAAATTTATTCAATGTTTTCTTAATTTATTTATGTCCTTTTAACTTCTTCTGTTTTTCAAATTGTTGTAGCATGTTCAACATTTTTCTTATGTTTAAGGAGAAAAATTGGATTCATACCGAACACATTTTAAAGTCTGCTAAGTTGCAATAGATTATGGAAATCAAATCCCGAATTAAATTTTTTTTAGTAAAATCCACAAATAGAAAGTAATTTATTTTTTTGCGTATGTTATTTAAGAGATACATGTATAAACAATTATTTTTGTAAATATAACTTAATACATTACATACGTATTTTCTAAATACCATATATATTTATTCATTCAAAATTTAATTGCACAATTCTTCAAAAATTAAATGTAAAATAATTCTAAATAAACCAAAAATTTAACATATATTGCCAAAATATAAAAATAAAAAATTAAACTCCTTATATTGATTTCTTTGCTTGTCTATTATTGGTGAGAAAATTGTGATACCAATGGGCCGAAAGTTTTGGGCTTCGATCCAACGTAAGTGGATCAACATAATAAAGCCCAAATTTTATTGTGTAACCAAAATTCCATTCAAGATTATCCATTAAGCTCCATATGAAATAACCACGCACATCAGCACCATTCCTGTTCCATCATAAATTCATAATTACATGAATCGTGGTCGTTGCAAATTCATTTTCGCTATAAATAGACTTATATATAAATCTCCTAACTAATAATTATCGATAGAAATACCTTATTGATCGAACCAAAGATGTCAGGTATGCTTTGTGAAATTTAATTCGATTAATGTCTTTGTCCAAGTCATATCCCCCTTCTTGATTATCATTTGAACCATACCCTGAATATAAAAAAATTATTACATACTTTTAATTACGTAAATATCCATGATAATGTGTGAAAAATTCTACAATTTAAGGAGATTAACATTTACCATTTTCAGTCACAAATATAGGCATGTTATTGTATCTCTTCTTAATATAATCAATAATATCCTCCATGCCTTGTGGAACCACATACAATCCAGGCATTCCCATCTGAAAAAAAAACAATTTAATTTATTACTATCATATATCACCATATTATAAATAAAAAGATAGTAATTCGGTACATCAATATTCCACATATATAAGTTACACGTGATTCAAAAAAGAATCGCACCAAAAAATGTGTTATATAGATAGTCTATGTGCATGCACATGTACACAATTCACAAGCATTAGATTGATTATATATAATAAAGTCGAGCCTACCAAGGGTTCATCTGTCTCAAAAATTACACTGCATATATAAAGTTAAAATTATATAACAGACATAATTACTCTTATTCAAGTTTGATTATTGTAGTGATGGAAATGATTTTGGTATCAAATCAAAATACACTTCTCATCATCTCATCAAAAAAGGGAATATCACGATTCAACGACCCTATAAATCATACGAAGACAACAATATTGTTAATATGAATAATATCTTACCGGATCTCCTATGAATTCACCATCTTTATTCTGTCCAGAAGTGAGCAAAAATCCTAAGATTGCATGATTTTCACCATGGCTACACGTAGGATTATTTTCATGCATGCACGTACAATTTGAATGAAGACAATCCTTGACAAACAACGTTGAATAATGATTAATTCCTATAAAATCCATGCTGTTTTTTATAAGCAATTTTTCTTCATAGCTAAATCTTGGTAATTTCCTCCCATGATATTGTCGCATTTCTATTGGATAATCTCCATGTACTAGAGGATCAAGAAGCCTGTTCATTTAAAAAATATCGTATTATTATTAGGACGACAAAATCAGCTCATAAAAATATTATTTGCCTAGTTTATCCAAGTTTGGTAGGTCATTAACCCGTTCAATTCATTTTAAGAGTTTGATATGTTATTTATATATAGTCATAAAAAAGTACTTAAACGAATCATAGGAATACAAACAAAGAAATTAAAACATCGTAAGAGTTAAACGGATGAACCACGTTTAGTTCATTTTAATTTAAGTAATTTTTGATCCGTTCATTTATTTACTCAGCTCATATTGATCTTTCTAAATTCAATCCAATACATCTATTGACACCTTAATTATTACATGTAATGTAGTTGATGTTTAGCAAAAATATTTTATCTACATTCAGTGTTTGCATCAAATCAAGTAATGCATGATAAATATCTTCTATACACATTTTACCACTTATTTATTAGTGTATATATTAGCTTAATTTTGGTATAATGTAAGTTTTTTTTTATGTGAATATTTGGTGTAATACATACGTACCAAGCCACATGAAACGTCAAAGCTCTAGTTGCAGCTTTCTTGTCAACTTCATCATCTGTCATTGGCTTATACATATACGCGCTCGCAACCATTCCTATCATTCCATGTTGTTCCACCTGCTCGATCGTTAATTATATATTATATCATTCTTTTTTAAATAGAATAAAATGAAAGTAAACGTGGATACTTACCTGAAATTGGTCACGATAAATTTTGACAGCCTTGGCGTGGGCCAAAATTGAGTTGTGGACAACAAGTAAAGGTTCAATATCTGAATTACCACAAGAACATTTTCCAAAAGGGGGAGAACAATGGACTGGTGGAAATATTCCCTTCATATAAGCTAGTTCTGAAAATAAATTGGGCTCATTTATAGTAGCCCAATACTTCACTCTATTCCCAAAATTCTTAAAACATGTTGATGCAAAGTGTACAAACTCTTCCCTACAAAAACTCAAAATTATATCTAACGTCAATTGAATTCACTGTTTACTTTCTTAACCAGTATAAGTAGATATATATTGATTGTATACACGGTTATACATATGTGATACATAGAGGCAGAGTTAGGATTAGGAGTTTCGGGGTTATTAATTCCATAGTACCATTGAACAGTCAATCAATTTTGTTGGGTTCCCAAGTTAATATACATATATATTTATTTAAGGGAGAAAGGACAAATATACCCCCGAACTATCGTAAATGGTATGCAAATACCCCCCGTCATACTCTTGGGACATTGGTGCCCCTGCCGTCTAAAAGCAAGAACACATATGTCCTTCACTCTAACGGAAGACTAAATAGGGACACGTGGCACAATCTTATCCGTCGATCGAATATTTAATAAATGTTGGATTTGTGGATAAGATTATGACACATGTATGTCCGTTAGTACAAAGGATCTATATGCTCTAATTTTTAGACGGCAGGGGCACCAATGTCCCAAAAATATGACGAAGGGTATTTGCATACCATTTACGGTAGTTCGGGAATATATTTGTCCTTTTCCCCCTTTATTTAATTTTTCAGTACAAATATAGAATCTACGGACTCCACCTAATTCTGCCTCTAGTGATACATATATTATATTATTGCTGACTATTTTTAATTTAAGCGGTTGAGTGAATAAATAAAACTTACTGCATGAACGGACTAAGCCATGCCCCATATCTTTCTTCAAGTTCTTGAGGATAGTCATTGTGATGAATTGTCACAAATGGTGTTATTCCTGCCATATATATTTTAATAACCTACTAATATTACTTTATAGTAATCTTGATTTTGATCAACTCTATATAAGATTAAATAATGTGTTATGTATATTATTAATATATAAAAATTCACCTTTGAGTAAGAGATTATCAATGATATTATTGTAAAACTTTATTCCAGCAGGATTCATGGGTCCGGAGCTCCCATCTGTTTAGAAAATATGCACAATTTATGAATATATTATGATTTCGAGGGTCATCCATTACAGAAAGACTTTTTTTTGTGTGGATATATGAAAGTACCCTATGATGATCCAGAGATATATTGTATGGTTTATGAGTCCAATTGAAATGACTTAAGATTATTTTTGTTAGTCCTCAGATCAGCTCCCATATTATGTCATTCATATCTTATTTTAAATTATTCTTACCTCTCGAGCTAACTTTTCGATCCATTAGACTCAAGCTCACTTTCTTAATTAATACTCCCTCCGTCCACCATTAATTGTCATACTTTCCATTTTTAGAGTCAAACTTTAAAAAATTTGACTAACATTTTAGGATATATTTAATCATCATATTGATATATAAAAAATTGCAATATATAGTACTTTTCGTATAGTTTTTGAATATCTAAATTTTTTGTTTAAAAAATTGAATTAATGTAATCTAATTTAACTTTGAAAATAAGTCAAATTGACTTTCGAAAAACACAACATGACAAATAAAAGTGGACGGAGAGAGTACAAACAATAAGTTATAATGAAGAAAGAAAGAAAAAGAAACATACTAGGTAGAACTCTACTCCAAGAAATGGAAAATCGATAGGCATTTACTCCAAGAGACTCCATTATGTCAATGTCTTCCTGCCCATAACAATTAATTAATTATTTAAAACAAATTAATTAAAAGACAATATGATGTATGTTTTAATTAAATTTATATATATATGACATAATTAATTTTATTATTACCAGGTAACGATGATAATGATCATCAGCTATATCTCCATTTCCTCCATTTTTTATGCTACCTAAACCAAAAATTAAATAAAAATAGATGCATTATTATTAGATTATACAAAAGGGATATATTAGAGAACTTTTTTTTAATTGGGTACATATATTAGAGATCTTTATACAAATTAACTGAAAATAATGTTAGAAAGATACCATTTGTATGAGAATAAACATCCCAATTGCTAAGACTTTTTCCATCTTCAATATATCCTCCTTCAATCTAACACAAATTAAATGTTCATCATGTGCATTTTCAACGAAGATCGATGATTGTCAGATCTAGTCAATCATGTTTCATGTGGAATCATTTCA